TGCGTGCGTGCGTGCGTGCGTGCGCGCGTGCGTGCGTGCGTGTGCGTGTGCGTGTGTCCGTTACCTTTCCCTTGCTTATCTGCGCCGATATCAGCTACTGACTTGTGACCGGCTTGGAGCGGAGTGTGACATGTGGCTTTGCTGCTTTCGCAGAATGAGTACATGAAGGATAACTTCCTGATCAAGATCGAGACGTGGCACAAGCCGGACCTTGGCACCCAGGAGAACGTGAGTGGGATGCCCCCGGGGTCTCTTGCACTGGAGCGGGTTCAGCACTGGTTCACCCTGCCTAATCTCGAGAGGGGCTGGAATCGATCATGGTCCCAGTGTGACGTATCCTCAGAAACTTGGATATTGACTTTCTGAGACTTGAATGCCAGCGACCGCCTGGCAGTTAGGGCGCGTTAGGAAATAGGTGTTTTCCAGTGTCCGGTGTTAAATCTTGCCCTTCGGCCTTCAGGTGCACGGTCTTGATGCAGACACTTGGAAGAAGGTTGACGTGGTCCACTTAGACATTGCTGACAGAAACCAAGTGGACGCAAAGGTAACGTGTTGTAGATTGAGAGGACGCTGAGGTGTGCGTTCTCACTGGCAAGCGAGACGTCTCCGTTCTCTCTTCACGAGCCCTTCCACAATGTCCACAGGACTACAAGCCAGAAGAAGATCCAGCCTCTTTCAAATCTGTGAAGACCGGCCGAGGGCCGCTGGATGCTGACTGGCAGGTGGGCGGAGCCTGTTTCGTGTTGCCGCTGTTTTCTTAGCACCCTAAAGGCATCGGGAACATTCCTGGAAATGATTAATGTGGTGGATCTGTGACTGGCTGGGTTTTCTTCTACGTTTTATTCATTTTTAACTTCCAGAAAGAGCTCTCCACGACGGACTGCCCTTACATGTGCGCCTACAAGCTGGTCACTGTGCAGTTCAAGTGGTGGGGGCTGCAGAACAGGGTGGAGAACTTCATCCATAAGGTGGGGCTTTTCTGGGGTACAGGAGGGGCTCTGGGAGTCTGGGGGCCAGCAGTCAGGTCTGTGTCTGTGTGCCTGTGTGGGTTATGTACAGTACATTACATCGTGGGGACCAAATGTCCCCACAACGTGACAAAAACCTGTGTGTGGAGCACTTTTAACTCGGCAAACCAGTCAGATTGATGTGGAATTTTTGATGTTGACTTAGGTTACACATTCAAACAAGGAAGTCAAACAGCAGGTTTTGCCCATTCACTGTCCTTGTGCCGCTTCTTTCCATTCCCCACCCGTCACCCTGACTTCATACAACACTTCAGGCTGAAGTCTAACTGTTTCACAAACATCATCTGGAACGTCGTAATAGCAAAGAGAGTAGGCAGATGTATTGAAGTTTAAAAGCGGTGTGGTTCCATTTAATGCAGGAACGTGGAGCTTGTGTGACCTCTAGTGGTTAATTTCTGATAATGCAGTATGATAACGGCTAAATAACGGCATAAATGTTCTTATTTATCCTGCCGTTATTCCTTTTTCCAGCAAGAGAAGCGGCTGTTCACAAACTTCCACAGGCAGCTATTCTGCTGGATCGACAAGTGGATTGAGCTGTCGATGGAGGACATTCGCCACATGGAGGAGGACACCTCCCGGCAGCTGGACCAGGTCCCCGTCCCGTCTCCCGCTCGCACGCCGACGCATTCCTCGGGGGGGCAGCAGTCCCACATGCATTTCTGGAAGTGCTGAAGTGTCACGTTTGTGTTACAGATGCGAGAGAAGGACCCAGTGAAGGGGATGGTGGTGACAGAGGACTGAGGGGGGTGAGACTGCAGCTCTCAGGTGACCCAGCGTGCATAGCTGAAGGTGTGTGTGTGTGTGTGTGTGTGTGTGTGTGTGTGTGTGTCTGTGTCTGGAGGGGGGGGAACCCTGGCAATGTGTGTGAATTTGATTTAGAGTGTGTGTCGTGTCGTCGCGGGGATTGCAGAAATGTTCCTCGAAGCATTTTAATGTTTCCATTGACACTCTTTGATTTCCTTTCCTTCTGTGTGTCTCTTAGGGCAGATGCACAGCACCAGCAGCATGACCTCCACGTTGATGTCTACAGGGTTCAGACCCCCCCAACTCCCCTTTCATTTGTCCTTTTTTAATATGACTTCACCTGCAGGGAATTTCTGCACAATCAAACTCTAACGCTGACCAGGCAGAGAAGTATGGCCATTAGTATCTGTTCAGGTGCTTGTACATCATTTGTTAATAACAGTTGCATTTGTAGAGGTTAATATCACTGAAATGTTTATATATTAATAGCACAAAGTGTGAACTGTTGGTAATTATTCATGTGTTGTACACAGAGTGTTTGTTTTGGGTTTATTTTTAATCATTTCAGTTCTGTTCACCTGCCATCTATACTGCTGGTTACATGTTTACAAACCTCTCATATACATGAATACATACTCGGATGTACTTTGGGGTGACGGACATTTGGGTCCTTTGGGTCTTTCCCCGGACCTGCACTGTAATGCTGGCATGTGAATCATGGTGTCAATATCAAAACAATGTTCACGTTTTATACTCTGTTTAACTTGTCGGGAGTGATCATGTGTTCATCTTAAATTGTTTTACTGATTTCATGTGTTTTTTAATGTCTGTTGCTGTATTGGACGTATCGCACCAAGGACTGAGTTGGATTGTAACTTGCAGAGAAATGCTGTAAATATCATACCCTTTCTGGGTGTACTTTAAGGTCCATTTTGACTGTTAAGCTGCCCCTTATTTTAATTTACTTATGTGAGAGGCTTTCTCTCACGTCGTTTCTGGGATGCAGTAGGAAATATAGATGGCAGGTCTCCTTTCTATGTTTGCCTGAGTTCCATTTTTTTGCCAACAAAATGTTTACAGGTGACAGTCGCTGAAATGAGGTTGTATATGGTGCCTCCTGTTAGCAATCCAGCCATTTCGCTGATGTGGCCCCCACCTGATTTGTAGCGTTTTCTACAGGGGAGACTGATAAATACATATGAAGTCAAAATCCTCTTCTCTCTGGCCTTCGATGAGTGCAAGGAGCCTGTGTATGGTATGATGCTTAGGCAGGCAGAAACACACAGGAGAAAAATGAGGAATTTGGTGAGAATGCCCTGGCTTAACTGGAATATGAGGAGATAAGGGCAGAATAATATGAAGCTCTTTTAAAAACTGGGGTATGAACAGAAGCAAAATTTTAATAAATGTGTCGGTAATGTTGAAATATTTTGTAAGGCCACAAGGTGGGGCTGCGGCGTAATGAGTGATCTGGTTCAGACAGAGAAGAAGAGCGCGGCGCAGTGGATAGGCGCGCGGAGGCTTATCGCTTGCAATAAACAGCATATTGTTAATTCTTGCTATCGTTTATTGGATACTACAACACCACAGAATGTACGTGTGAGTTTTCTACAATGGCTAAGAAGGATTACCAACCACTTTTAAATACGTTTTAGATAATTAAGAATTAAAATTCTTATACATTTAATCATAGTTACTGATGGCTTTATTAAAGCGAGGCTCAAGACCCGGTAACCCTGCCCAAGATAAGCTGTTAGAAGATGGATGGATTATTAAGGTGCATAAAGTGAAAAAGCAGACAGGAGGCGCATTTCATACGACGAAGCCTGTGCAGCTCTCCAGTAACATTCGTTGTAATGTCGCTTTAAGCGGCTAGGAGGCGCTCTTGCGCTGGCAGTGGGGTGTTTGCTGAAAGTCGCTGGGGGAAGGACGCTGTACCGAGGTAGGAAACGAATCGGCGTTTGCCTCCATCATGTGAGGCAGCCGACTGCGCCAGACGGTCCGAGCGGGAGAGGCGCACACGGTGCCGGGTAAGCGGAGGCCGGAAGCAGGGAGCGCTGCGTACGCCGCTTTAAGCTCGGCTGCTCAAAAAGTTGTTAGCCTGCGAGCCGGCGCCTTCACGGGATGTTATTGCCGTCACTTATCGCGTATTGTGTTTCACGTATGAACGCCCCTGAAGCCTGGGTTGCTAAATAACGTCGGACACTTTAACTTTGTCGGCTACTGGATTATCGCAGTGCTACAGCCGAAACCATGTATTGGTAGCTAGAGTGATGTGGGATCGCCGTGCCTCCATGCTTTATACTGAGACGCCCACTCAGCTGTGAGCGGCTACTTTTGTCTTATTTTACTCCCCCATTACCTAAGACAGGTAACTCACTGACGCCATAGTGCGTCTATTTTAAGAACTGACTGATGGGATCCTCCATCACGCAAAATGCATGGTTATATCATCTGCGGGATGGAGGACTCTTATTTTGACGCCGCAGTCGGGACGCGCGTAGCGCGCGATGTAGGGGAGTCGGGAGCGGCGCTCGGCTCGCAGAGTGTCCACCTCTTCGTGATTAATTTTTTAAAAACGTAGCAAGAAATGCATTTATTTGATTAGATACCCTAAAACATGTAACAATTATGTCGGAGGTTGAAGACTCCTGTAGGGAAATTTAGCTGACATTGGTTAAAAAAAACATCTCCAACGATGTCACCCAAGAAAAACGCCTTTACAAACGTCTGACTCGGTTTTCTGAACCGTATAGTTTGTATTGGTTTATAAAATCGCCACCTGGAATATATTCATAATTACGTACATGAAAATAAATGGTTCTTGTTTGTTGCTTAAACTTCTGCTTCATTGATGTAGCAACAGGCTTAATCACATTTCCTGCCTCATATCTCTGATCTCTACTGAAGACGAAACATAAAAATACGTACAAGTGCCTTTATTTCCCGTGTCTGTCTGCCTAAGTCATAACCAACTCGGTTGTGAATGTTTGTGATCGTAGTAAAGCACTTTTGACAGGAATACTCTTGCAGAACATCTGCGTAAATTTGTACTGGAAAACCAGAGCAGAGTAATGAAGCTGCTTTTAAATGATGTAAGTGGTTTATCAGCCACGGCTGATTGCTGAGCGCAGGCTGTGAAGCCAGCTGTTATTTCGGCGTCCTGGCAGGTCAGAGAATGGAGGTGGGGTCCTCGGCAGGTCCCCTGAACTCCGCCAGCCTGGGGAAAAACGGCAGCAAAGGCAAGGTCGACTCCTTCAGGTAACTGCCGCTTCCCTGTCACACTTTCCGCGTCTCTGCCTCTGCAGTGGGGGCGTGTTTGGCAGACCATTGTATTTTTTCTCTTGTCCTCCTTTTCCTCCGTTCATAAAGGCTGCATGTGGTCACGTGGAACGTGGCTTCCGCAGAACCTCCGGGTGACGTCAGTGCACTGCTTCAGCTGGCTGCGAACCGGCCCCCTGATCTCTATGCTATTGGGTGAGCCCTGACTTCTGGGATTGGATGAACTGCCGGGGAGGCGGGTGTCCTGTGTTTGACTAGCCTTTCCTGCCGTCGGCCTTATTTTACTTGACATAGGCAGCAGGTGGCGTAGTGGTTAATTGATGACATGACTTCCACCTATTGTTGGCAGCCTGCAGGAGGTGAATTCTACTCCCCTGAAGTTTGTGGCAGACCTGGCCTTTGAGGATTCCTGGAGCAACGTCTTCATGACCAGACTAGCAGCCCAGGGCTACATGAAGGTACCTAATGGCCACCGCCGCCCCCCTGTGGTTGTGTGTGAGCGTTACAATGGGGCCCATTCACAAATGTCTTCCTCTGGAGTGGGTGAGACCCCGGAATAGAAAATGGTTTCTTTGTCCCGAAGTGTTGGGGAGGCACTGATGCATAGTTTCCATAAAATATTTAATTCCTCCACCTAACGGGTTCTGCTTGTATACATGCTGTGTAGCAGTGGTCTCCAATGTATTTTTACAGTATGCGCTGCCTTTACAATAGACATACCTTGGTGACCTACTGAATTGTGATGGGGGGTTTCCTCGCGGTACATTTTGTCTCTCTTAGCTGCTTCCTTCTGTTTTCTCCTCGCCCGTCCAGGTCAGCTCCATCCGTATGCAGGGCCTCCTCCTCCTCCTCTTCTCGCGGCTCCATCACGTGCCCTTCATCCATCACATCCAGACCACCTACACCCCTACTGGCGTCTTGCGCTACTGGGTAAGGCCGACCGAAAAGGTGCCGGGTCCCAATCGGTGCCGGCCGTCTTCCTTCATCTCATTCGTCTGTCCTGCCCCTTCTTGGTGTTTCCAGGGCAACAAGGGCGGGGTCTCAGTGCGCTTCTCCTTCTATGGCCACACCCTCTGCTTCCTGAACTGCCATCTGGCTGCGCACATGGACTACGCCTTGCAGCGCGTAGACGAGTTTAAGTACATCCTGGGCACGCAGTCCTTCAGCGCGGCCGACACGCCCCACGTCCTCGACCACAGGTCCGCCTCCGCGCCGAACTTCTCACTTCCTGTAAGAAAATGTTATGTCATCACATCACACAGTCAGCTCTGAGTTGTTGTTTGTCCTTTACCGACTGCCTAATAAGCCACTGCCCATCACTCAAAGTGCTCTGGATGTAAACGATTTGCCAGGTCCTTCTGAAGAAGGATGACGTAAAGGTTCCACATACATTATCAGGTGACTCGTTGGACCTTCATCCTGAAACAGCCTGCATTGGTTCTGTTCAGTCTGTGTTTCTCCTTGCACATCCCTCACTGTTCCATGACTGACGTCCCACGGGAAAAGTTTTAAGGGGTGTTGATAGGAGGTCCGAAGTTCTAACGCGTTCCTGACTATCTGTCTCTGTCTCTCAGGCTGGTGTTCTGGTTCGGGGACTTGAACTTTCGCATCGCAGACCACGCCACGGGCCTGGTTCAGTCTGCCATCGATAACGAGCGCTTCAGTCTGCTATGGGAAAAGGACCAGGTGAGCTGGATGTCCAGACCTTATTTGATGTTGTTCCTTGTTCACATGACCCTGCAGCTCGCTCACGAGGCCGCCGCCTCCGCCACAGTGCAGCCTGATCAGAGGCTTTGGCGTAACAGCAACTGGGTCCAGTCAGAGACCCTAGTGAGGATTTCTGGGGTGATGATACCTGATGTCTTGTTGGGTTGGTGATCAGCCAATGATGATATTTATGGCATTTGTCTTCGAGGTGGTGGTGATGATGATGATGATGATGGCGGCAGTGGTACCCTATTAATCAGTCTCTCTCTCTGATGGCACCACAGCTGACCATGATGAAGAAGGAGGACGCCGTCCTGCAGGAGTTCCAGGAGGCACCCCTCAGCTTCAGACCCACCTACAAATATGACCTGTTTTCAGACACGTATGACACCAGGTAGCGTGTTCACGCACATGCTACACCGTCCGTTCGGCCACCTTGGACCTCACTGCTGTGCTGGCAGTGTCTCCTCTGTCGGAACTGTTCAAGCACCAACACTGTATCGCGGCTGACTCACTGCCCAGGGCTCTCGCTAACCCTCTCACTGCATCGTTCACGGAGCAGCGCTAACTTCACTAATGGAGTCGATGTGCGTGGACTCACAATACTGCCTTTCTCACACAAACAAACTCGCTCTGTCTCTGTCTGTCCTCGTGACCCCTCCCCTGACTGGCCAGCGGTAAAAAGCGGAAGCCGGCCTGGACCGACAGGGTCCTGTGGAGGCTGAGACCGAAGGCCCCACCCACACCCAAGGAAGGTGGGGTCGGAGTGTGCGGGGGGCCGCAGGAGGAGGAGGACGCGAAGTTCCTCTTCAAGGTGGTGCAGGATGTGTACACCTGCTGCATGGAGTACAGCTGCAGCGACCACAAGCCCGTCATCGGCACCTTCAGCCTGGAGGTGCCAATCGCCCAAGATGGCTTTGCACTTCCTGTGCCACTCAAATGACAATAACTTTGTCTGGTCTAACAATCTTCCCCCACCTTCATTTTCTGCCTGACCCTCCTCCTGCCCACCCCAATCCCACCTCCCTCCAGCTGCAGAAGAAGGTGGGGGTACCGTTGGCGCGCTTGCGTGCCGAGGGCGAGTGGAGTGCAGACGCTGACGCTTTGCTAACCTACAGCGTCATGGAATCCTTCCCCGCCAGCGCCTGGGACTGGATCGGCCTCTACGCGGTTAGCGGGATGGTGTGGGCTGGGTCATGGGGGGTCGACCTCTTTCTGCCTTATTCATACCGAGGCGTTTCAGCCGCGGCCCCACGATCCGCTGCAGGTCGACGGACCTGTTGACAGCGTGTTTTTTATTATCGTCTGGCTTGTGCAGCACAACATGAGAGATACTCCGCCAGGAGTTAAGAATACTCAAGGGGGGCTCTTATTCTGAAGTGATGGTCAGTGATCATCACTTCAGTAGCTTTGGTCTGTTCTGCTTTAGGTTCTATGGCTGCGTCTACAACCCGTCACCCCATTAGCAGAACGATAGCTTGTCTAGATTGTGTTGGTCGTGGTGAAGCCTAATGGTCATTTCCTGTTCATCCCGGTTTTATGACCGTTTTCTCTCGCCCCCTACAGGTAGGTTTCAGGAGTGTGCAGGACTACATCAGCTACACGTGGGTGAAGGATGCGGAGGTGTCCCACAGCGAGGAGCTGATACAGGTGCCTACATGGAGTCACGCTGATGCTGTTCCCCTGATCAGTGCCCGCTGATGTAACTGTTATTAACTGTTAGATTTTCCCTTCTGGAGAATTCCATGGGAACCTTTAATGGGCTGCCAAAAAATTTACAGTGATCCCCCGTCTTATCGCGGAAGTTACGTTCCAGACCCATCAGCGATAGGTGAAAATCCGCGATATAGAAAGAGCATATAAATAAACATTTCTTTATAGTTAAAGCCTTGAAATGCCCCTCCCACATGCTTTAAACATGGTAACTTATTAAAACACACTTTGTAAACACATATGATATGTGGATGTCGGGCTAAGGATATGAGTGACATAATTCACAAAAAGTTTGCTCACAACAATTGGACCAAAAGCAAGGTACGCGATACACCAAGAACTGTGATGCGTCATGGAAAAATCTGCGATAGCTGAACCACGATATAGCGGGGGATCACTGTACCTGTTTTTACAGTCTGATCTTGAGGGTAACTGGCATGAATCACTGAAATTATATTCCTGTGTATAGAGGATGGACCATTATATCTGTGTGTTGACAGGTGTATGTGAGCAAGAACGAAATACCAGTCAGGGGTGGCCAGTGTGTGCTTGGATACTACAGCAGCAAAATGCAATGCATTGTGGGTCTCAGCCCACCCTTCCAGGTGAGACCCACGTGTGGGCTTTGTCGTGCCTGTAGAGATGATGTCAGGCAGCTGTTAAAGCGGTGTCCATTCATGGGTTGTTTCAGGTGCACGAGTCGAAGGTGGCAATGGACGAGGGGGCGGTGCCAGAAAACCATTACGGATTGGACTTTAGGGCTGTCAATTAAAGCAGCTGGAAGTCTCCACTGGCTGCTCGCCCTAATGGACACACCCTCTCTTTGAGTGGCATCTTGATACCACGCCCCACCTGGAAGGGCATTTAGTGTTTGTACTATAGGGAAAAGAAGTCATTTTACTGTTTTAAATATGCAAATTTTAATAATTTAGTTTTGAATACGTAAAAAAAAACTTGAATATGTAACCAAAAATGTAGAGTTTGGACCTCTGGCTTTGATAATGGTACATTCCTGTAGACAGCAAAATCTATAGTTATTTATTGAGTAGCGTCTTTCAAAGCCGTAAACATTTATTTCTTATGAAGTATTTCTATTTAAAAGAATTCTCATTCCATGTTCGCTTTACAAGTCTGACATTTACGGCGGGTATCATGTTGACGTTGGGAGGTGGAATTATAGGTGGAGACAAACAGGAAAGTGCGTCAACTGGAGTAGGTCCAGTTAGGTACACTGGGAAAGAAAACAACAAATGGGGAGAAAATAAGAGCGGGAATTATGCAAGCAGTGTTTAAAGCTGTTATATGTATATATAAAACAGCAGGAGAATTGTTTGTTACTATTGAATTGTTTGTTACTACTGAATTGTTTGTTACTATTCTTACTGATATGCGGAAATAAGCTTTCGTTTCCCGGACACTGGACACGAGCTGCAGTGCTGCGCGTCTCTGCTCGTCTTCGTTTTGGCTCGCGCGTGCCCGCGAGGTGCGGCTGATTGTGGGGGAAGCTGCAGTCTAACGTGGCCGTGGGATTTTTGGGTAAAGCACAGGGGTGACATTTTGTTTGCTATAAAAGGATTATTTGATTCGTTCCCCCCTTAGAAGCTGTTTCCACTGTCTTGGATGGATTAGTGTCCTCCCATGACCAGACTCGTCTGTCTATTTTTATCATTGTCCTTCTGCATCCACGCAGATATACGTACGATGTCTGAAGAATCCACATTGATCTCTCAGTTAATTAAAAAAAGAAAACGGAGTACAAATTTAAAATGCAATATTAAACACAGTTTGTATTTAATGTTATTTAACCTTTTCTTATATGATTACCATAGGAGCTCATTAGTCATCTCTCTACATTTGCGTTGCCTTTTAAATTAAATGTTATTAAAGAACGCAGATTGTACAAATGAGTTCATGATTGTCCCTATAATATTCTTGGTTTATGTGGTAGTAATTGTCATGCTGTTGCTATTGTTATTTTGGTAATGACTTTATATAGGTCTTGTACAAAAGCAGTCTCACTACCGACCTTATGTTACAGCTGATGGCTTGTTATTAAAACAGAAAAGCAATTCCTAGGCTTGGTTAATAAAAACACGTTTGTTTTAGGGCGGAGAACAGATAGGTAAGTTTGTGTCAGGGGGACTTCAGCTGATACTGAGTCACGTCTGGCGAATTTCTATTAAAATAATTTGCTTCAGCGTTTTAGGGAAGTTATATATGTTTTACTGTCGGTTGCCTGAACGGCAACTTACTGTTAAGCGTCTATATAATACAAAAACTCACGAAATCATTTGTTTTTATTTAATTATATATTTAAACCCTTGAAGCTCAGGGTAGTGAAGGGGATCTTCGCTGCCACTGCTCTCTGTGACTCTCTTAGGAGAAGAAAGTCCTCGCATGTCATTTCCCCATAGACCACATTAGAAACTCTGAATAAATCTCGAGAGATGAATTAGAAATTAGAATGTTGACATGGAATTTCGAGTATACTGACCAAACTTCTGATTATCTGGGAAAGCCCCTTCCTAGAATCAGCAAGGGTTTTTATGTAAAATACCGATTGAGTTGACATTCAATGATGCTTCTATATAGTACGTCATGAATACGACTACAGAATGTACATTCATGAAACCACGTACTTCTTCGCGAATGAAAGTGTTTCCTTGGTGATAAGACTTTTAAATATTTTCTTGATGAAATGCTATCAAACTCATAAAAGTTAAAATAAAAACTGACAAGTGAACGTGTTGCCCATGTGAGGATGTATCATTGAAGGCGGCGCTTCTCCGGTCTCGGCGCCCGTTGCTATGGTAACCGTCTGTTTACACGCCCGAGGACTTTGCGGCTGCGACCCGGACATCCTGAAAGACTGATTTAAAAAACATTTATTGTAATTATACCCTAAACGCTGGAGTGAGGAGCGCTCCCTGAAAGTGCAGCTTGCCCTGCCAAGGTAATTCTCTTGACGGTCTTTTTCAGCCTGACACTAAACACAGTTTCGTTCGATTTTTACGGCATCAAGCTGCTTTTAACGAAGTTACAGGGATCCCAGCTCTTTTCATGTATTTTATATTTTGAAACGGGAATATTACAAGTATGAATACATGACTCATGCCAACTTTCTGCATTGCACTACTTGAATGTGTAAAAATTGCTGTATTTTGTCACACACCTCGTACTGCTCTCTGTTGTGATTCTTGTATTTCTTCTCGGTCTGTCTTATGCCCTTACCGTTACCGTTAGTTGTCTATTGTTATGGTGTCATTAAAAATCTCCCCTGGCCTTGGTCGTAACAATAAACATAAAGAAGATAATACAGAAAATGTCTTGCAGAGGGATTCCTCTTTGTACACTGTAATGTGATTATCTAATGTTAGGTGTGTTTTTTCAAGTAAAATGTTAGGTGTGTTTTTTTCAAGTAAAAGTAGACCGTTGACACTACCAGCCTCGTAAGCAAACTGACCAAACTGAACACCTGTCTTGCAAGGACACATCTAATAGAACCACAGATCTCTGCAGTCAGACGTTCGGGGAGAAATGTCCCATCTCACGAAAGCAGCATCCAAGTTCCTGCCCTCAGAATGGCGTCAGGCAAACCAGGAGCATTATGGGAATGCCAATGCCGAGCTTTCGCGATCGGAGCGTTTAATTGCAGCAAGCAAAAGGCTGGTCGAAGAAAGTGACAAGGCAGTTCAGCGCATGCAACAGGATGTCAATAAGAGGCTGGGTAAGTAAGGACTGACTGAGTATTTTAATGTCATGCTAGTTTATGCCAGTTTATTAATTTTCTTACAGGTGTATGTTGTCTCCCCCTTTCGGCTGTCCCGTTTTCGGAATTTGAGTAATTAGCAGCCTGAGCTAGATTTCACTGGAGGTGACCCCCTCCTCTGCTGAACTTGTATTTCTGTGCTCAGAGCAGAGGATACAGGATATTCGGTTCTGGAGGCAAGAGCTGAATCTGAGTCTGGAGAACATGGTTCTGGAGGTGGAGGCACTGCTCACGCTCCGAACGCGGCTGGAACGAGCACTGGCGGGCTGCTCCGAGCCCCTGGATGTCACTCTTCAGTGTCTGGCTGAGAGGTGAGTGGGATTCGCCATGTTCACGGCCTGTCTGCTTTGTGTAGGGCTTCAGCCCCTCCTTCCTCCCCCTAACATGCTGTGTGTGTGTGTGTGTGTGTGTGTGCGTGTGTGCGTGCCTGCACACACTCAGGGAGAATCGTGTCGGCATCGACCTGGTGCATGATGAGGTGGAAAAGGAGCTGAAGAAGCAGAAGGAAGTGATTGAGTCTGTGTCTGCGCTGCTTCAGCGGACCCTGGAGCAAACTACTGAGCAGATCCGGTAAAACCAGGGGACCAGAGATGTCTAGCTGCCTTTAGACTCTGTGCTGTCTGTGGTTTGTGTTGACTCTTGTTTTCAGATAAAATTTAATGATAAATTGCTGTAAAAATGCCAATATTTTGTGTGTGTGTGTGTGTATCTGTGTCCAGACTGAATCGCTCCATGAAGTATTGGCTGGAAAAGGACCTAAGGGACAAGTTTCAAGCTGAGCAGATCGATGATCACTGCTGCATCCTCAGCAGGAGCTCTGCCGAGGCCCCCCCCGCTGAAGGGGGCACCACAGCCCCGGGGTGAGCTGGGGGCTGAAGCTCAGGGTAGTGAAGGGGATCTTCGCTGCCACTGCTCTCTGTGACTCTCTTAGGAGAAGAAAGTCCTCGCATGTCATTTCCCCATAGACCACATTAGAAACTCTGAATAAATCTCGAGAGATGAATAAGAAATTAGAATGTTGACATGGAATTTCGAGTATACTGAATTGTCTGGGAAAGCCCCTTCCTAGAATCAGCAAGGATTAAAAGAGAACCGGATTGATGATGTTGATTTACGCCTCAGTTTTAACATCCGCTGGTTTGTAAGCAGACAGTAATTTCATGGTTTCCTGTCACCTGCATGTATTATTGTCATAAAGCTAAATCAAGGTGTGCTGAGTTTTTTTTATAAGCAGTCATTGTCCTGCTAGGTACCAAAACACAGGTGAATGTTTGCTTTATCCTGGGATTTTAAGCACAGGAATCTTCGTTCTGGCTTCTCTGTTTTTTGGGTTTGATTTCGCTGCAGCGCCACCCTGACGCCGAAGGAGTGGGAGTTTTTCTCAGAGCAGAACGTCCGCAAGGCGGAGCGCGAGAAGAACAACTCCGCCTCGCTGCGCGCCCTGGCTGAGAGCCTGCTGGAGCAGACAGGCTCCGATCTGCGCCACATGCAGCTGGCTGTGGAGGCAGCGCTGGAGCGCCGTGTCCAGGAGACCAAGGCCGCCAAGCAGCTGCTGGAGGATCGGCTGTACAAGGTGCTCGTCTCCAGTGCCTGTACAAGGTGCTCGTCCCCAGTGCCTGTATAAGGTGCCCGTCCCCAGTGCCTGTACAAGGTGCCCGTCCCCAGTGCCTGTACAAGGTGCCCGTCCCCAGTGCCTGTACAAGGTGCCCGACCCCAGTGCCTGTACAAGGTGCTCGTCTCCAGTGCCTGTA